AACTTATGCTTAAAAGGAAGCAGATATTTACAAAATGTAATTACCAGACACCTTGTGGATACAGGCCATTTTGTTGAGATTTCCAAATCCTTCAAAATATTAAACATACAAAGGACAGCGAATCTACGATGATTTCCTGAAGCAATTGCAATCAAACGCCTCAGACCAAACTTATGCACACAGAAAGAGAGTGTAGTCAATCTCTCACTCCCTTGGTAACCATATCACTTTCATTACAGTGATTACTCATAGACACTAGTGAGTTCAACTCACTAAGCAAGTTTTCAAATTGATGAACTTTGACCTTGTTGAGTTGCCATGTTGACACTGTTTATTAGACTTTTCTGTTTTCTGTCTTCTCTCACCCCCCCCCCCTTTTTTCTTTTTTCGTAGGTTGATAGTATATAAATTGATGGTAACTTAAACTATAAATTTTAATCCTTATATTCCGGATGCGTTCATCTTATAATGTTCTCTCTATTACCTTTCAAACAATGAAGTATGAAATGTTATTATTTATAACCATTGTATTTTCAGGTAGTTTTCAGGTGATGAGAACCTGTGAAATAGAATGATGATATCATTTTATACTGCAAATCTGGACTTTCTTCCTCTTTTGAAACAGGAAACCGATAAGGAATTATCAATATACGAATTTTCATAGCTGGGTCCATTTGGAAAAGGGAAATCTGATTCACTCCGTATCTTCAAAAATAAGAAAAAACACTAATGATTAAATCGATATTGAATTGGAGGGACTCAGAAAAGCCCTTATTGAAAATGGATGTCCTATTAGATCTACTGAAAAAAAAAAGTTGATACGGAAGTTTGAAAGAATTCAAGTGACGCCAAAGAAACTCTTATTCATGAACTTTGAATTCAATTGTGACATAGCAGCAGTAATTCTGAAGGACATTTTGCTGCTTTGGACCACTTTTATTTTTTTTAAATTTTATTTTGATTACAGCTTGATTTCACACCGTATTTTCAGTACATGTATGGAATTTTCAGCATGGATATCGGTAGCCCAAATTTACAGGCCGACCATAGATATCGGGTGTGCGCCGGCAGGGGATCGAACCCCTGACCATGTGCATGGTCGGCGAGAGTCCTAACCACTGAGCCACCGACGCACAGTGCGTCTGTAAATTCATTTGCTTCTGTTGAATTGTATATATTTGCCCGGCATGGTTAGTAAGAGGACATTGTGAGACAATTACTAGCTCACTTCTTCAGCACTTGGTAAACTTAGGCTAAAGAAGAGTCATTTCTAAGATTATCTACAAGGTGAGACTGAGTGGTACCATGTGTGTAAGGTTTAAGTATTCATGTTTGGTGGAGGCACTGGTAACTCGTCAATCGAACCTGGAACTCTGTGTATCGAAAGAGTTTGTCCAGTCTCTCATTCTACTGTGATCTTAATCTCGCTCCTAATCGATCGCTTTTATTTTTGTTTTTACTAATTAATTCACTATTACCATTCTTGTATATTTAATTTATACATTTTCTCACCCTCTTCAAACTTGTCAAGTTGACACGAAACCACCTCACTTCTCATCCAATAACAAATCCAATCTTATCGAATCTCAAACACTATCTTCCATTAAGTCACTGACTATTACACAATATTTCTAAACATTTTTTATTTTACGTTAGAAGCTACTTCTGAGCAATTATATGAGTTATGTAACCCCCATATTAATCAACAATGGACTACTATACTTTTTTTACCTAGACAGGATCTCTTGGAGATAAATATAACTGTACAGCCTCTGAAGATGATCTCTAAGCTGAATCGTCTTTACTTTCCTTCATCACTCAATGGGTATTTTCAGTCTTTTATGCGAATTGATATTGAATTAAATACTATCACAATGTACAAGTATTACACAATGTACTGAACTCATATTGTCTATGCTCATTTATGATTCTAGTCCCTCCCTAAATGTAGGATGAAATCGATAGGCAAGAATGCCTTCCCGACTTAGATTTCTTACTCGTTTAAAATTATCAGGCAATAAATGTCAAGATTGTGTTGTTTGTTTACTGCTCGTTAACAGCAGTGAAACTCAGTAGTAGGTGTTTTACGTCGTATTTAGGATTCTTCAGAAAGATGTGTCTGCATTTCCAATAGGTGACTTGACATTTGAAATAAAAAACTCAGTAGGTATCTTCATTCCTAAAGGGAGCCAAGTTCATTCAATAAATCTAGCTTTAGGAATGTCGATAAGCCTTCTATTTATCACTATGAGCGACAATAAAATCTTTAATATCACTCCTCTTCTGCGTTCGGGAATAAAAGACAAACTGTCTCATTTCGCCTCTTCCATGTGTATCTACCAATTTAACTGCTCCTGTGGAGTGAGCCAGTTACATAGGCCGTACAATTAGGCGTGTTTCTCGTCGAATTTACGAACATCACGCTGCCTAGTTAAGCAAAGGTCAAACAAAATCTATTCGAAGCGCTATTCTGTCTCATCTTGTGGAGACAGAACACAAGATTGACGTTAATCATGCTTTCAGGGTCATTAACACCGCATACCTACGAATCTCAATTTCGCTTTAAGAGTTCGACTACTAAATATTGCTGGATGTTGGGATCCATATTAACAAACCCAATTTATGCATCCAAAAGAAGTTAGTTCAGTCATTATCATTACCTTGGCTATCCAGGCTGGAATTTCCCTAATTTTAGTTGATATTCTATTCGCTATTATATCTTTATTATTATTATTATAATTAAAGCATCTTTAATGAACTGTAATTGCATTGTGATCTTACTTTACAAATCGATATTATTTTAAAAAAACACTAATATTGTTATTAACTACTAATTTAAAATATTCTGTGTATATAAACATGCATATATAATTGTAGAGCCAGAAGAGGAATTTATCGAAAGAATATTCTTTGCTCGATTATTTTGTGTTTTATAAGTTAAGAAAATTATGCTGTTGACTGGTTCTTCTTGACAGATGTTCCCATATTAAAGTATCTTAAACATTTCACATCTACTGCATTCCATTGAACCTTTTGAAGAGAATTCTAACTCGTTTTATACAAACATAACCGAAGCTATGATTACTCAAGAAAACAATCATAGTTTTTACGTACAAAGTAAGTTTACTGAAGGCTTCAGTAAATCTAATGAAATAATTAAATCTCCCAATATTTTCTTGGTCATCAATTTTCTTGTACTTTATGATATTTTCAAGTGTTTGCTTAGCGGGGGTTCAACTGCTTATGGGTCCGATCACCAGTTGACATCATTAGAGTACCATCAGAAAACCAGGAAGTACTAGACAGCTGTTTCGTCCCTGTTTAGAACTCTTTAGCTTGATTTACGCACCTAGGTTCAAATTCAGGAATCCCCGGTGACAAAGTGAACTCATAGACCGAATAGGATGAAATATATGCATCCTAGATTCTACTCCCACTCACCATCCACCAAAATAACTTCATATTATTTCCGTAGATATCATCGAGACGTCCATACTATGAAATGGCGACGCGTCAGTAACCAATGAACGAGTAAATCAAAAAAACTGATCGACAAATAAACAGTCTTTACACATTACTGAAAGAAAATAAGTTTTTCCAACAAAACAAAAAAAATTAGAACAATATACATTTATTTGATATAATTGTAAGTTTTCTTTTTCAAGAAATTTGTCTCTCTTTCTAAAGAGAAAAAGTGATCAACCTATCTTACAACTGTCATCCTAATTTAATGTCCTCTAGCTATGTGAAGATGAATAGACTTAGGGAAGTAGGAGCAATGTGGGTTGCGGCTGTAAAGTTGAATATACAAAATGATTTAATCACGCTGAAGAAAGTATAAAACTGTCCTAAGAAATTGATAGAAATTGATGGAAAAATCATACAAAGAGAAGAAAAGAAAAGAAGAGGAAAAGGGGAGAGATAGAGAGAGGAAATTGTGACGTAATCTCAGAGGATGCTCCTTGGCATGTAATGATGACTTAATTTGGTGTTGTTCAAAGATTAATTACTTCTTGCTTACTCACTTACTTTTGCCTAAAAAAAATCTAATTTAGTATACATAAATTACCAATTATACACACATACATACAAAATGTCTAGAAATAACATACAGAATGTGAATGTGAATGAATCGAATGAGCTTAATATAAGGAGGGAGAACCAGAGGGGAGGAGAAACACACTCACAGCTGATATACACACATAAATGCAGGTGTATATATCAGACAATGAAATACACACAAGAGATTCTTCAATCACAGCACATGAGGAGAACCTGAATATGAGTAAGACAGTCAGTCAGTCTGCTTGATGAATAATATTTTAGAAATCTTAAATATTTTCTTAATTTTTCAAAAAACAACAAATAACTATGGAAGGAAAAACAGAAAAATATAAGTTTAATAAACGATAACCCCTATGTGTTGTGTATTACGTAATCTAGTCGACTGGCTTGTCGAAACTGCCTATCGAAGATGCTGTTATATATATATATATATATATATATATATATATTTGTCTATAATATATGACTGTGCACGAGTGTTGCTCTATCCATGAATTGGGAAAATATATTCTAGAATCTGTTTCTGATTATAATCAATACTGACAAGAAAATTGACTGGAAAAATTGGAAAGTTGTACTACAGAAATGAGGGGAACGAATCAACGAATGAATAAATACACTATTGGCTGCTTCTCTGATTAGCTGAAGTCAATATAACTGGAAAACGTTGTAATGTAGAACAGGCGTTCTCGTTTGTATCACATATATATTGTATAGATTTATATTATTAAATAAGCATACGTTTCTGTACGCCTACGCCTAATCTAGTTCCCCTAGAAGGAGCATATCGAAAGATAATAATAATAATACCTATATAATACCATTGAAATAGCACTAGCTATGTAAAGCAGGTGTGTGTGTAGGTGGTCGATAGTTCAGTGGGAGAATACTCGTCAATCGCTCACACGGTCCACGGAGCTCTAACCCCCACCCCCGGTGACTGACGCATAGTCTTAAATCCGGTCACTTATCCGATGTGTGTGTGGGAGGCTAGTAACCTCACCCCGTACAATAACAATGAGAACCCTGGCTAAAATCTTGAAGCCCTATGTATGGTGTTGTTCTCACTTGGAACACAAAAGAGTAGAATGAAAAGAGAAAAATAATGTGAAGCAGGGGTCATCATCACTCAAGAATATGGAATGCATGTGTCTCTATGTGTCTGTGTGTGTGTGTGTGCATTAGTGTATTGGTTTGACAGTACAGCGAATTTTAATGAAATCTACAGAAGAAGTAGAAGACGATGGTGACAGTGATGATTGTGGTGATGCAGAATTCAATATGTAAGGCAGGTGAAAGAGAAACACACACAGCAAATGAAAGAAACCAATTGGATTCTTCTTCCATCATATAATCAATCACATATAGAAGAAGAAAAAGAGAAGGAGTCGACGAATTCACATATTATTAACTAACTGTTCAACATCATATCCACATGATTTGCTTCACAAATGACTTCAAATAAGTCGGTCAGTAGATTATGATAGTCAGTTTTAGCTAAAGCTGAGATAATAATTAACTGTTCAGGTTGTTGCTGATCATGGTTATTGTTATTATTAACAGAATTCATTGAGTGATCATTGGTAGGTGAATAATCTTTTGGGAAACTCCAAAACTCTAAGCCATAACGATATACTAGAAATATAAACAATAAAGAAAATTATCAAATAAAAAAAATTGGATTACATGTATGAAACGAATGGTAGAAACTAAAAATTTAAATTTATCTACGTTGTATTCATTCATAAACTTGTACTTTATCCTTCACGTTCCCCAGTGGAACATGGGGCCTCAAGCTAGTGGCTTGAAGTTTCTATAGCAGTGTTTATTTTACAGGATGGGGTTGCTAGCCTCATTCCCAACTTTTTCTCTTCACCTGCATTATTTCTGGCTTAGCAAGGTAAAGGAGTGCGTCAGCAGGGGATCGAACCTCGGACCATGTGCATGGTCAGCGAGCGTCCTAACTGCTATGCCACCGACGCACAATAGAGCATAATTGTGTGTGTAAATGTGTTCATTTTTGCTCTGTAATGTCTGAAAACCTACATTTTCGTGTAAAATTGTTTTAAGTTATTTAGTTTTCAGATACGTCTGAGCGAATGTGGGTATATCCCTCTGATAAATTGTTCTGAGCAGAACTAAATGGGAATTCTGCACTCCACTGTGTTAGTCACCTCTAAACATGTTAACCATCCGGTATATACTTGAGGCGTACCTACATATAAGCCGACACGTCAATGCCGATCGAACAGTTCAGTCTAATATGAAAGGTAATTATCAATGAGCAGTTATTTGATGCATGGTGACGATGAGTTTGATCTGGGATGCTCATTTCACTCCACATGGGGACTCATCATCTGGAATTACCTGCTTTGACAACGGAAACGATGGGTTCTGGGTTCAAGTCTCACCGGCAACAGGATCACAACAAGGACTGAAGGCGTCTCCATGTAAAAAATCCCAAATACGACGAAATCCTTATCCCGAATCTCACTCGTAGTCACAATCCATCAAATAACATTAGGTTAATCCTCAGACACAGTCGACGACCCTGTACCAGATACCAAAATACCAGCAGAGATTGAATATTTCTGTCCAATATGATGATGAACCCACAAGAAATACAAAATTAACTAAAACAAATACGCTAGTCTTCCTACTTACCATCAGTTTTAAAAGGACGAATTTTACATTGAACCAGTGAGATAGCATATAAAGCAGTTAAACGTGTAGAGGAATGTGAATTGAAATGACTAGATGCTGCCTTATGACTGTTTATATCATTTTTTGATCGACTCCTTCGTGTATACGGCAAACAGTGAACAGGAGGTTGAGCACAGATAAATGCACTAGACTGTAAGTTATTCAGCTGTTGATGTTTATCATCGAAACTGTCAATAAGTAAATCCAGAGGTGGTTGAAGGAATTCATCGTTGCATTTATGCCGACTGAATAACACATTATCAGTTGATATCTGGCGATGTTTTGATCTGTCGAAGATAGATTTTCTACCACCGAGGTGTTTTGACGATGACGTGGAGCAGGAGGACGAGGAGGATGAGGCATCTTTGGCAAGAATAATTAAATCATTGAATACAAATAAGTGTCTCAGTGCCCTGGTCTCTTTCTCTGGAGACTGGTTTTGTATAATCTTAGAAAGGAAAACCACAAAAGAAGAAATAATAAATATAACAGATAAATTATTACTTTGACTGGAAACTAGGTGATACCGAATGTCATACGTCTAGTTCTTCTCTTGGCGACAACGGTTACCCACAAAAGTTCATCGACAAGTATGGGAGACGTCATGTTGAAAAAGTGAAAAGCAGCACAGTAGAGAAAAAGCCTATCTTTCTGCAGCTTGCATTCAAAGGTGATGATACTGCCAGTAGAATAAGATGCAGACTGAACTCTACCCTGAGGAGAACATATCCAGCCGCCAAGTTTGTATTTGTTTATCAAACAACTAGTTGTTTGAGACAATCAAGAGTGGACAAATACCCACCTCATGTTATCTCCAACTGTGTCTACCAATTTACATTTACGTGCTAAAGCACATACATTGGAAGAACAGAGAGAAGAGTTATTGTCCGCATTTCTGAACAAACACCAAAGAACCTGAGACTGAAAGGTCCACAAGTATTAAACAGTGCAGTTGCGCGTCATCTGTTAGACATTGGTCATAATGTTGACAACTTGAAGTCATTCAAAATAATCAACAAGCAAAAGAAACCTAACTTGCTACGCTTTGCTGAAGCAATTGCTATCAGACGACTTAAACTAAATCTATGTACACAGAAAGAGACAGTGGTGAATCTTGCACTGCCCTGGTGACAACAAAATATACAACCTTGTTTCTATACACACACATATATATATGCAACTGTGTTTTTGTTTCCAAGCCTAATCGCCTAATTATTATATAAATATTTATAAACTGTCAAATATTGATCACAGTTCATTTAAATTATTCTATAAATAGTCAGTGTTTGTAACTCTTAATTAGTTAAATCATTCCGGACTAATGTTACTTTTACTTCCTACCAATTACTCCTTGTGATCGTGGAAAAGTATGTTCAAATCTTTAATGTAATGTAATTCATATTTTTTTTATCGTTCAGGTTGTAACCAGTTGAGAAGAATCCTCGAAATAATAAAAGATGAGCTCATATTATCTTCTGGTACAATTGTTGTTCTTGCTTTGTTCAAGTTTATTAATGGGAAGAATTGCATGAAGTTTTTGAATTCTATCAGTCAAGTTTCCAAGGCAACTAAGAAGCTAGGTAATTCGCCTACTACAGAAGGTCGATTGCGAGTTCAAATGACTCGATTGTAACGTCTCTGACTGCTGCACTGGATCAGATGGGTTTGAATCTCAGAGGAGCCACAGCTTGCTTCAGGACTTCAGGTACGCTTTGATGATGAGTGTTAGCAAGCACAAAACTTATGTGTGAGGCTTCCTGTCAACTGCCTTCAACCACCTAGCCATAACATAAGTTAATGCCCAAAGATGGAGCCAAAAATCGTTAACTGACGTAAACTGAAATTTAAGAGCCATTAGATTGGCTGGATGATCTGTGAACAGACCAAGTAACATTGGCCAGACGTCAGAGGAGATCATAAGCGAGTACTTCAGAAGAATCCCAAACTAGGACGAAACGGCTTTACAGTACTCTCCGGTGTTTAGTGGTTTCCTAACTTATGTCATTGGATAACCAAGCTTGAGATATATATTGAGTGATCACTACAGAGAAACCAATGTAATGTATGTTATCCTTGGAGCCAATAAACACAAAACTTAAGTCAATTTCCAGCCAATTGTTGACGAAGATCTAATAAAAAAAATATTGTGGATATGCTGTCAAGGAATATGAACATTGAACGGTGGTTCATTGACCTTCGTCACCATTGGCGGGCAACTCGAAGGCGCAAATGGTTCAATCGTGTGCAAGTTCGAAGACAAGAAGAGAATACGAATAAAAGTACCTTCTAATTTTGTACAAAACATTTGTTTATAGACTTGTAATTGTCTTTACTTTAATTGCCAAACAATATAACTTTGGATTTGAAGTCGAGACAAGTGCATAGTCATTATCGGTTCAAAGCGTCTTCGTTACAATAGGAACTTAGGGCTAAGTTCTTTGACATATATGTAGCAATATATGCAGTCATCGTACACATCTACAGTACATAGTGGTGTGAAATAAACAAGATCGGGTCATAAACACTTCTGCAAGTGCATTTACGGGGAGGACAGTGGAAGAGATTCAATAATAAAATACTATGGTAATTGATGATGCTATATATATATGGTTAAAAATAATATACGTTTCAGTCATAGTATTGATTAGGTGTGTGCAAAAATCTTCTACTCTTCTCCATGAATCCATATACCACATAGAGAATTAATAAATGTACTGATAAAACTCATTCAAGGACTGTTTCATTTTTAGTCTATGGCTGTTAAACAGTAAAAATCGGTTAAACCTTAAGTAAATAGCTACTCTTCTTGGGGAGCACATTATTTCCCTTAGCTTTTTCAGCTGAAATACAGAGTTTCAAAGATTTGAACGTCCTCTACTTGGTGGTGTAATTAAATATACATATACAATTTTGGAGCTTGAGAATGCTGTTGCTGGAAAGAGAAATGTTAATTATCTGATATCCCTAAAAGGGGATGTCAATGGACGTGAACATTGAACGTTTGTTTATTGGAACTGGCAGCCATTGGTGGGTAATTTGAAGGCGCGAATGGATCGATCGCTCGCAAGTTGAATGAAGACTTGAACAAATACGAAAAAAAACTTTGTAGTTGTCTTTACTTTAATTGCCAAACAATATAATTTCGTTCAAGGAATACTGGTGTTTTGGATTTAAAGTTGAAAGCAATACATAGTATTTATCGGTTCAATCGCCTACGTCTTCATTACAATAGGAACTTAGGGATAAGTTCCTTGACAGGGGATTTTTATGTTGTTCTTATTGACACTTATGAACTTCAATATATTAAATATTCCCATAGTAAAATTTAGAACAACACATTTAAGCGAACAATATTGTTTTCAATTAGATCTCATCAGGCTTAACTCTAATATATATAAGTTTACAAATAAAATTCAAATATAAACCAATCATGGTGTTTTGTCTATAGGATAATACGATGGTGAATATAAATTGTGCAATTAGTCATAATAGTAGTAATGATAATAATAATTATAGTAATAATAGAAATGGTCTTATCAATAATAAGGATGAAAATGTGAGGCAATCTGTGATAACACGAATAATGAAAAACAGCATGATTAAACAAACAAACAACTGTTCAGGTGGAAGTAGTCGATAAAGGCTAGTAAAAACAAATGAACCGATTAAGTAATGTTAGATTGTAAGGGAAGGAAATGAAACACGTTTATAATGAAGATAAGATTAAGGGATCATAAGAAAGGGGATGAAAATACAAACAAAGGGTGGTGTAGAAGTTATTAGTTGGTTACGTCTTAATAGGCCAAGGGAGGGATAAAGGCTGTACGAACTTTTTTTGAATACATAATTTAGGTTTAATAGTTTGAATGCCTATTGCCTCAGCTGTGTGTAGTAGACGAATACGAAGTCTATTGGAAAGATTCGGTGGGATACGATGAATCACTTTGAAAGCTCTCGTTTTCTCCACTACATGACCACTATCAATTAAATGTGACAAAATTGAGCTACGGATTGTTTTTGTCTGTCCTTTGCCAAACCACGATGGGAGATGCTCACTAACACGTTGGCTAAGCTGTCTAGTAGTACGCCCAATATAACTGTCACCGCAGGTGCAGTTGAATTGATAAATACACATAGATGTGGCAAAACTGTCAAGCTTATCCTTCGTTTGCGTCGCAATGAACTTAGCTATCTGCATGTTACAATGCAATTAATGATTCAAAGAATCCAATGTGAAATTTAATCCCACTTTCATTTTCGTAGGCTTAACACATTCCGAATGAATGGCATGAGAAAGTGAGCAAAGATTTACTGCAAAATACACTGCAAATTGAATATAAATTAGTTTAAAACTAGCTTGCCAAAGAAGTATCAGTGGTCGGCTAGACACACCTATAGTGCTGATAAGATTAATGCCGAACGAGTCTGTTTGTAGAAAGCACAGCATAGCATAAGAAATGATCTTAGTCTCACTAAACCTTACGAAAATATACTTTTGAGAAAATCAGTCTTCAAATATCTCTGTTGATTGATCTCAATACAGTTATTATTACAATTCGACATTTGGTTTGCTTGAGGAACAAAAGTCTCTCCACTGTTCTCTGTCCTCTGAAGTCTTTTTGGCTGACCCTAAAAGTGTCCACAACTTTTTACTTTCTCCTCTTACTATCTCATCCACATTTCCCTCAGACGTCCAACTCATTGATTCCCATTCAAGGTATACTGGAGGACCTGGAGCATGATGTCACTCAACGGTCTTCTTAGCATGCTTCAAATCTACCTCGATTTTCTTTAGTCAGTAGGCTTTCGCTTAGTCTGCCACCTGTCAGAGGTCTTTGTTGCATACCCCTTCTGACTGGCTAGCTGATCTTCAGTAGGGAGCAAAGAGAGTAGGTGTTGATGAAAATCTGCAGCTTGCTGGTAGGTAATGCCCCCCTTGACGCGTAAGCCAAGAGCACTGACTTGATATTAATGTTGGCAATTCGGATCTTATTCCATTTGCTAAAGTCTGTAGATCTCCACAGCGATATCAAGTAATGAGGGTCTGTCTTTGGTTTTCCAAGATGGTAATAAGGTAAGGTAATACTGAATAGTCGACTAATCGGTCTCTGTTATAACGGTTTGTTAGTGATTTGTTGTTTGGTATCCATATTTTTATACAGTGCACCTTCAAATACAACACTATAGCCGACTGATCACTTGGAAATATTCCCCACATTGAGGTGGACACAAAAGTCCAATTTAACTCCGACAACCATTATTCAGAATACACAGTGCATATTGTGTTTACATATCAACGGAAATTTGAATCATGAATGGATGATCAGCGTCTGATTGATTGCAGGATGATGAAGATCCTCTAAAATAAATCAGTCAAAAATTGTCAAGTTGTCAGGTTATTATATCGGTGCATGCATCAATCATAACTTCACGGGTCATTCATGTAGATAGTTAGTCCGTCCCAACTGTCCCACTAGGTGTCATCAGGCTTTTCAAATTTCTCTTACTTTTAGCACAATTTTTGTCGAAGTGTTGGTTTGCAGAAATTTGATTAGTTTCGGGATTTCATCATGAACTGACATTGTTTAAAGAACTTTTGGAAAACTTGGGAGTACTAGACAGTCGCTTCATCCTAGTGCTTAGGACTCTCCATCAGTACGCAACCACCGCCAGGGTTCGAGTCAAGGACCTTCTGGTTAAAAGGAGAGCTCGTAGACCATTAAGCCATTGGGACACAGTTTAATTGTCCATGAATTTCAACTTCTGCCGATTCACGATATGACGCGACCACTAGCTAATGCCATCGGCAACCATTTGTCTTCACACCCGACTATACTAGGCGGGTAGTTATCAGATTTCTAGTGGGAAGTCGTGATCAGTGGGGTACTGCAGGTAGGGTGTGAAGACAAATACACGCCAGTGACATTCACTAGTGGTGGCGCCATATCAGGAGTTAGCAGAAGTCGGGATCCATGGACCATTGGGTCGGGTACCAGTAACTTAACGGTCTACGAACTCGTCTGCAACCGGAAGGTCCTGGGTTCGAAACACCTTGGGTGAGTACTGATGAAGAGTCCCAAGCACTAGGACGAAACACCTGTCCAGTACTCCTAGATGGTTTCCAATGGTTCTCTAACCAATTTCAGTTCATAATAAACTCCTGAAACAATTTTAAGATAAAAATTAGAATAAAACATTATCATCCAACTGACATACATGAATAACAGTACAGTAACACACTAATCTACGATGTGTATCAACCAATTCAAAATTAACTGTAGTAGATTTATGCGGTAGAATTTTCACTTGATTTAAATTTCCTATTGCTTTTGATATACGCCGGACAGTATCTGTTTGATCAGCACCGGTTAGTAGTGGTCTCGCTTTAATACGATGATAAATTTCAGTGAGTATACGATTAGAAAATAATTGTCTCGCCTGTACAGCATTACTGTTGCATTCATTCACTACTGATTTACGTTGTCTTTCATCACCACCAACATCATCATCACCATCGTTATCACCATTGTCTGCTTGATTTGTACAGGAAGACATTAACAGATCTGAAAGGATATAAAATGAAAAAGCAGAACACTTAGTTTAAAGCAAAAACCAGTTGTCAGGATGGTACATAACTATGCTAGTTTAAATCATATCACTCATCCCATACGCATTCTATGTCTAGATTGTGTAACCCAACCAAAAACATATGTATACAAATAATTTCGTTAGCATAAAAAGAAATTTGCATAGAGAAAGCACTTGGACAGGACAATATACACATTTTCACAGCTTTGTTCCTTTCCAGTACAAAAGAAATTTAGTGGAGACCCTCAGCCACAGAGTCAATTAGAGCTATATGCTCAGAAGAAGTAATTGAAGATGAATTAAGCATTGTAAATGATACTTTGATCGAAAATAGTTAGCATGACAAATTTATCAAGAAACGAAGATGACAAAGAATGCGGAAAAGGACTACTCACTATCTGTAAACAAGAAGCCGCTTTTTATACGAATACAATTCATGGGCGATATAACAAGCGAGTTAATTACGAGGAAATTAAGAAAATCATTTCAAAGAACTTCTAGTGCTGGCAAACCACACGTATTATTCTCTACACGACCGATGGTGCTACCTCAACTGAAAGATTAAGTACCTAGACTAGCTAGCCACTTTAAATTGTATCTACCAATTCAACTGCACTTGTGGAGCGAGTTATATTGGCCATTGCTCTAGGAACTTGATTTTTCGTGCTCGAGAACATCTCCCAGTATGGCTAAGTAAAGGTGCAGTTAAAACCGTTAACAGCTCGATATTAGACCATCTGGTGCAAACCGGTCACAAAGCCAGCCAGCGTAGAAGAATCCTTCTCTATAATATACCGGGTACCTAACAAACTACCAAAATCGTCGAAGCACCGCTTGCTCCAAACAGCAGAGGCTATTGCAATTCGCCTCAAACAACCAGTGCTCTGTGTTCAAAACAAGCAAGTCCAGCCCCTACTACTGCTTTGGCCGACCCTCAGTAGAAACTATAAACTCATGGATTTGTACAATTATCTTTCCTAATTTTTCTGACATTCAGCTTATTGTTATGTTGATGCTGTTTAGCTGTAATTTATCAATATTATTGATTTGATGTTATTTAAACAGCATTAATGTCGTTCACAAGACTAATTCATTCATTCATTATAATGTGTATATATAATTGTAGAGCCTGATGATGAAGGGGTTATCGAAAAGAGTACTCTTTGTTCCGTATTCATTCTTTTGAAAATTTCGTTTTCACTGGTAAACCTTTTGCAAAGCAAATTTCATCACGAATGAACACCGTCTAGAAGACGATCAACTGGAAGAAACAAAGCAAACTGTGAACAGCTTTCTTATCCCAGTGAGAAACATTTCAATAGTGAATACCCGCAATCGAACAACAGGTCACATCCACGATTAATTATTTCTGTAGACCAGTATACTACTGTGCAGCTCGTGGAATCCATCAGTCTATGTAATCGATGTAATCAAAACTATGCAATGACACTGTTAAGTATTTATTCTAATTTCTGAAGGATAAAACACAAGTCATGACGTTTTTTAAAGAATTAAGACAAAAATTCATCAGTTTCTTGAGACTTTTGGCAAAAAGGGCTGACGAAGATTTCTGAACAGTATATTGACTGCTCCTTACTGTTGATGGATTGAGTAAACAGATGACGGTTAATGACAATATTCACTTCGAAATCACATATACTCCCACAAATCCAACATGTAGACTTTAATTTAGCTGACATATTCATGGATTATTGGGAAGAGAATGCCCTTAACCCATTCAGGTCATCACTAAAATGTTGGTGGAGATATGTAGACGACACACTAGTAATAGTGAAAAAAACGATATTGAGAAACTCTTCTCACACATAAATAGCCATGTTGACTCAATAAAATTCACTATGGAAGTAGAGAATGAAACTGGGGAACTACCTATGTTAGACTACAAAATACAAAGAATAACAGATGGTAGTATTAAAACAACGCTATATAGAAAAACCACACACTCTGGAAGGTTCCTTGATTATCACTCAGCTCATCCACTCACGGTAAAACGATGATTAATACAAGGTCTTGCAGACAGAATACGTAGACTTACAACAACGCCAGAGGACCAGTGTAAAGAAATAGACGTCCTATTCAAAATGCTACTCGAAAACAACTACCCAAAAGAATTTATAAAAGATAATATAAAAAAGAGGGTAAAAACCGGAGAATAAAAAGATGGAAGAATGCAAATAAACAGTCACAATACTATGTAAAAATGGTACATTAGAGGCAATTCAAAGAAACCTCAAAAGTATCGGCATTCCCAAAACTTTAAAACCGACACATCTAATCAAAAATAAAATAAATCAACTGAAAGATCCCATAAAAATGATGGATAAAAACAACTTGTTTTACAAAATATCTTGTGCTGACTGTCCGACTAAATATGTGGGGCAAACGTCCAGATCACTCAAAATAAGAGTGAATGAACATAAACGCCTAACCAAAGGTCAACCAACAGGAACAGAAGCCTACAAAAATCTTGAAAAAAATTCATCGATAGCTGCACATGCATGGGACAAAAAAACCACAATATCGATTGGAACAATGTGTGCATTCTAACAACTGACATGAACAAGTGGAAAGAAAGACTTATAACAGAATCGATATTCATTAAAGTCACACCGGATACATGTAACAAGGGTGATTCAGTACTACTATCAACAACTTGGAATATAATTCTGAATACGAAAAACGTTAATGAACGTGGAATATAACTCAAATACAAAAAAAAACCTGAATGAGCAAAAATAATCAACTATATATATGAGTACAAATCATAAATGTGTGAACAAAACAATTCCAACCGTGGTGTGAACACGAGCAGTAATTTTACTCGAAATATAACAAAACTTATCATTGTGTGTAAACTATTGAAATATAATTATACTTTATTTGATCTATTCCACAATGCTCAAACCTTTTACTGATATTAATTTAATTTAGTTAGTACACAAAAGTGGTAACTAATGCAATTGGATGACTGAATAACCACACAGAAGTAGATTTTCGTGGCATATAAAAAAATATAAACGCATTAGGCATTAATGACTACAGAGTTATGTACCATCCACTATATTCCGAAATACCTTGACATACCAATTATTTATTTTATTTTGTAATTTATTCCATTACATTCCAAGTGGAACATAGGGCTTCAAGCTAGACCTTTAAAGTTTCGGCATCCATAGTGTTATTGTTAAAGGCTTGAGTTGTTAGTCTCACATCACACAAAAATCCCCTCTTTACCGACCTTACTACCGACTTAGTGAGATGTAGGAGTGCAACGGCTGAGGATCGAACTACGAACCACCAAACTAGAGACTTAACACATACTGATAAGTTACAGGTAATGCATTTAGATTTCGAATGATTAAAACAAAAGGAAATATGGTATTCATCTATTTTCAACCTCGTGCCTCGTGCCGAATTCCATCCTTTTTTGGATAAGTGCATCGATTACAATCTTTCTTATTGTTCTTTCTACCTGTTCATAATTTATCCAGTCATTGGGTTCCATAATCAAAATATTATTATTATTATTACACATTCTTCTTTAACTCGAACAAAAACCATAAATCATCAGGTTAACACACCAATACCTAAACTTGCACAAAGTCGAATCGAGTCAGGCTGTCAAACGTTATATCAACACAAAAAGTGTCGAAAAGAAACATAAAAAAATAAAATAAAGATAAAATAAACATGAAAAAAACAGAGAGGGACAATTATTCAACAAATGTCAAAAAAATACCAAAAAGTTCCTAAAATTACTGGAGATTCGCCCCGATATAATTCACTCTCAGTCACATTCAATGCCTTCTATGTGTCAGTGAATTACAACTGTTGTTAGACATTTATTTCCCCAACGTTTAAATTTCCTGATGATACGGTCAACTGAGATAATCTCAAAAGGTCAGCAGGCTACTGCTGATGTAATGGATGGTGACTTAATGGAAAATGAGAATCTGGACCACGACAGGTTTCAGGACAGTGGTCTCCGAATTATCAGTCTGGCGATCTACTAGCTAAGCTACGAGGTCACCATTTCACTAAAGTCACGATTATTATTATTATTTCCTTTAATTCCTAGAGGAACATAGGGATTCAGCCTTGCGTCTCCATTGCGTTCGGTTCTCTGCTACAGTCTTCACCTGGCTCCATGTCTGCCCACACATTTTCATCTCCCCTTCACATGACCTCCTCCAAGTCACCCACCCTTGCACTGACGACCAACTCGCCGCTTCCAATACAGTCGGGTTCCACTCGAGCAATGGCTTGTCTAGTGATGTCACTTGATGGTATGTTTCCTCAGAGTATGGCCAGCCAATCCATCTCCATTGCTTCGTGCTTATTTGTTTCACAATCGGTTCCTACTGAGTTGGTTCGCTCATTGCCAGAGATCCCTCTCTGTTGCTGATGTTTTCTGGCCGACCATCTGATCTTGAGTGGTTTTGAGCGAAGACAACTGTTAATGAAGGTCTGTAGTTTGTTTGAGATGCAAAGTCACGATATTGTCAACATATTTCCAATAAACCTTCCACAACCCATGTCAGTTAATCAGTGGCATATAATATCATGCATTTATTCTTGCTTTCTCGATTGACAATTATGGTATTAAGTAGATCACATATTCCTATCTGAATAATTTCGGTTTCCAAAGGTGCCTATGGTGAAATTTACCTTCAACTGTGAATTATCAGCATGCAAAAGTAGCTAGCCAGAAATTGCGTGGTTTGAACTGATTTAGACAGGGTAGATGGCTGTTGAGCTCAGCCTCAAACGAACTAAAAAGGTCCTCTGTATTTAGACTCCTGCAATGTGGCTAGCTAGCACTACTATTTGATGTCAGTATTATCTAGCTACTCATATCAAACAATAAGTAGTAAATGGCAATCGATTAACCTTCTGTCTATGCTTAAAGTTAAATGAAATTGCGAGAAATTGGCATAAGGTTATTTTTGTCAGA